GGTCAAGTCGTTTGATACACTAGATTTTGATAGACACGAAACAACCGGCGTTATTTTACACTAAATTATCCCATCATGAATCACTTAGAGGTTTCTTGTCAATAAACTATGTCACTCTCTGGGAAAAGTAAATCACCCGGAACCCTGGATTCCGAAGTACGTTGTCTATTTATTTTCTAAGATGCTCTTTATAGTTAAGTCAGAGCGATTTGCTTAGTATTTTGGCTCGCATGCAGGGTGAACTAGAGGCAAGAGAAATAGCTGTCGCATCTTTAAAGGTATTTCATTTCTTGTATAATTAAACTAACATACTATAGTGCGAACAGAGATATCTTTTGTATGCCGATGCCGTATGCAACCGTTATTTCTTGGATCGGGGCTTTTATATAGATCCGAATGACGCAATACTTGCCCTGCAACGCGATGCTACTCACGTGGAACCTTCGAATGACGACTCTTTGGACGATTCTGTCCCCAAGGAGAGATCTCAAACTTCAAAAGACAAACCCATCCCCTTGAAAAAAATAGAATTGCACGAGCTTATTGAAGCCCAAAAGCGTGCTCAAGAGTTTTATCGTGAACAACTGAGACTAGCTGAAGAGAAATATTTGGAGGCTCATAACCGTCTTGAGGAAGAGCGCAAGAAACATGAACGAGACACGGCCGAAGGTGATGATGTCGTTGCGATGCTAGAAAAAGAGCGGGAAAGATTACAAGCAGAGGTCTGTTCTACCTTTTTAAAATTTCCAATAGTTCAGCTTGTTTTATTCGCCTTTGATGTGCACTGGTATTTAATTTACCTTTTTTCATTAGTCTGACTGCAATGCCTCACACGTTCTTTCCTTAAGGGCTGGTATCAGTGCCAAGGTATCGACGCATTTATGAGTAGTTTTCTGCCGACATGGCTTGGTATACTTACATTCTGAGGCGTTTTGTAAAGTGCACACTTTTTTGGCTATTTGCGATCCGCAGACGCAATTTGTAACGAATTTTCTAACGTGGTTACCTGAACGTGCTTCTGTCGCCTGTACCTTTATTTATAATGGACATTGAACAGAAAAATTGTCATTTTTAAATCTTAGTATCATGAAGTTTTTGCTTAAAACTGACTGCATTGTTGGAGGCTACGGACAGTCATCCCTTTTAAGACGAATCTCCGATTTTCTGAGCACGCATACGACTGCCCGTTGAATAGTCGATGCTGTTAATCTGCAATAAGATATTTCTGCAGCAAACGAGAATTATTAGTTTCCGCATATATACCTTTCTGAAAGAGCATACTCTCTGCCTATCAAACCGCCTATGGGACACGGACATTGTATTTCCCACGGCTGTCAAATGGCTGTTAACTCCGCACACCAGACACCCAGCTTCCGCGTATGTTTTACGAAATTCGTTATCAAAAGAGGGATAGAGATGCTATTTTGTTTTCCAGGTAGCCCAACTATTGGCCGTTCTTTAAAAAAATATTTCCAGTAGGGCAATATCAATTGAAACTAGTCGTTATTTATATTATCTCCCGCATGCGAATAAAGTTGTATCAGTTAGCGGGTTAAAGTCAACTCATCGTGGGGGTTCCAAGAAAGCTACACGACATCCATCGAACCGCGAAGTTATGTCACAGTAAGAAACGTGAGCATCCTCCACGAAATCTGTTAACATTTCAATGGCCATCGCTTTTTCCAGAAGTTCATCCTATTGTAAAACCTGTGTGTAATAACCGTCTTTTGAAACTATCCACTCTATAGGAGTGTAGGAGTAGTATTTGTGACTGCCGCCCAACTTCTTTCAGTTCCTGAATTAAATACATATTACGAAAAGGTTCTGTTATGCAAGTACGATACTTCATATGCTTTTCAAAATTTTAGGGATACTCATGGAAGTGTCTAAACTGTAAATTCATCTTGTCTAGTAAGCTTTAGAAGAAATAATCGAAGGTTTTCGCTACGCGGGAGATAGACGATAGTTTCTGTTACTGGCTCCATAGACAACGAAACAGTTCTATAAATTTATCTCGTAATAGACTGCTTCCAAATAAATTTTCACGGGGCGGATAGGTTGTCAAATCGGACCTAATTTCCTGTTTACTCGTGATATTTTTAATTTAAGTGGATGGTGGTGTATGTAACGTGTCCAGCCGATACGTATAAATTTATAAAATTTATAACTCGTCCAAACGCGTTACATACACCACCACCTACTTAAATTATCATGTTAGAAGATATTTTCGAGCTGTTTCTGACTTATTTAAGCATTCGTAACGTAGCCAAGGCAGTTTATGCATGACATTTTCGTCAAATATCAGGGGTTAAAGAACCAGTAAGTAAATTACGGAGAAGACCCTACATCTCGTCAAATTGTGCATACTGTAAATTTTCCATTTAACGGTCATTGGAAAACCTCGTATGTCGGCTTTTTGGCGGTTGGTATTAACTATACGACTTATTTTTTTCTCGTAACTACCTCTCCACAAACCATTGCGTGTTTTAGTGTTTATTGACGAAAATAAGGCTTAACCTTCATTTCACTAGTAACAAACTGCGGCCTTTGTCTGCAGAACCTAATGCGAAGGAAGGCACTGAGACCAATTCCTGCTCTATCTGGTGACTTCACCTGTTTGTATTCAAAGGCTGGCTAAGATGACTTAGGTTTTAACAAGTACAAGTACTTAGGTTTTGAGCCCGAAACCCCAAGACCAACCGGAATGCTCATAATCCACGTGGAAACCAGACCAGATTAATACATGCCATTTACTTAAAATAAAGACGTCTTTAAAGGGGAAAAAATGCTTTCGCCAACTTAAAAGACCGCCTACGCCGCATCTTCTGGGAGTTTCTCGAATCCTTAGTGTGTTCTAATTGACAGGACGGGATATATGGCAATAAAATTTAATCAGGCGATAGAGGCCGAGCTCGCTGTTTCATGAGTACTTTGGATCATTGCGTTGCTCTGATGGACCTCCCTTTGATGCTGAAATTTTCCTCTCTACAGGTTTCCGATAATAGTTATCAGGGAAATTAGACGTCAAACCTGATCGTATTAATCCGTCGTCCATCTGTTTGTTATTGCAAGTTTTTTTTTCATTTCAATTTATTTTGAGACCTCATTCAGCATAAGTGCGGCGGTCGATGGTCGACATGTCTTTTTATAGTTGGAACGTTGCAGTAAATTCCACCTTATTTTTCGGCATTTTAAATTCCAGCTACCAATAGAAATGCCGTAGTCGGATATCCTCGGTTGTCTCTGTGCAAAGCTACAGCATTTCCTTATAACAAATGGTGACAGTTTCTTTTGATTTTAAGCCTTCTTCTATTCACTTTATCAGTTTTCAAACTGTTTATTTGGGTTCGTTTCATGGGATCTAGGGCTATTACGTTCCTTCTTACTGTTTTTTTCAAACCCAATTACTCAACCGGATATTCGATTTTGTTGAGGTCCGCACCTTGTCATTATTCTGTCAATTGCATTTTTTCCTTATAAGCTCCAATTCCGCCTACGCAAATCACTAAACTTTGTTTTTTCCATTCATTTTAAATATAACGTGTTGTCTCGGTGGTAAATTCTCAAACTACTGATAAGCTAGGTGCAATTTCCAAATCTTGTCTACCTATTTATCCAAGCTAGTCATGATATGCTCTCCTTTTGGTGATGCAGAGGCCGAGTTCATCGTCAGTTAGACGCTGCCAGCCAGTTTTATGTTAATTTCGGCAGATAACGCTCGAATACCTAGGCTCTACACGCCACCCAGCCTCTAGTTTTTGAGAGTAAAGAGAGCAGTTGCACGTGCTACCGTTTGAATTACTCGTTTTGAGATTTGATCAGGAAATCGTTGACCTACAGTGCATCCACCGGCTTTTGTCAACTTATTTACATCGCTTTCACAGAGATCGTTGGGAAGTGGGAACCAATATACTAATATGCACTGATCGGGTACTGTGGAAACTTAATGACTGCGTGTCACACCGTTATAGCAAAAACGGCGTTGCCTCCCTTGTTCTTATTCTTTGATGTGCAAGATAACTTTTTGCACCAGTCATTCAGGTCGCACACATGTTCGTTCCTATGTATGTGCATAAAAATACACACGTTTACAGATAATCGTTTTTCGTCCAGCACCTAAGTTTGCCTATGAGTAAATAGCAAATATATTTAAAAGAAACTAGCAGTTACGTAATGTCCGGGTCTGAAGTTGCCAGAAACGAAGTTGAACCATGTCCTTAGCACTCTAATCTTCCCAACCTAGCAAAATTGTCCATTATATGTCTCGTATGAATTTTGTGAGGCAAAGAGGAATAACATAAGATAAACTACTTAAAATTCCCAACTTATATTTGGTGTTTTTTTTCGCGTCATTAAGGAGTATGTTAGGCTGAAATGGGTGAACCATGTCCATACTTTTCCCCTGATGAGTAATTTTTGTTTATTTTAGAAACTTCTCGACTTTGGAACCTTAACCGCACTAAAACCGCTTTCAACACAAGCCCAGGTGTTGTTATTGCATATACTTTTGTCCACATAGGTCAAAAAGGATCGCATTTATTTCCCGCATAGTTAACCACATAAGAAGCAGTTTTTTTCTTGCAACTGACTACTTCGCTGGTTACTCACAAAATATAAATTTTACAGTATTCAGTTTTCGGTACATGCCGGTCAGTAAAGTTCACTCGTGCAGGGATTCGACTGCTGCAGCCCTTTAACTGGCCACCGCGTATGCTTCCTCCGGTTCAAAATTACCTTCACATTCAGTAAAAACTGTAACACCCTGTTGCATGCCTTACTGTATTTTAAAATTTTCTTACTTAGCTGGAACACGAAAGATCGCAAAACCGTCGGCTTGAGAGGGATCTCAAAAAGGCCATGGATAGCTGTGCCGAGCAAAAAACCCTCACACAGAGACAAAGACTCGCTGCGGCTAATCTGATCAAAGAAAGATGTCGTCTCCTGCGGGAACTTTCTCAGAAACGCCAGGAAGTAGAGCGACTTGAGCGGGCCCTTAGTCTACGACCATCTACCTCACCGAAGGCTTCAAGTCAGCTTGCTGATGATGAGGTACGTGAGCATCTGCTTCTTTAGATGACATTGCATTTTCTTATTTATTTTTAGCTCAAAATTGCGTTTCTGCGTCCTTCACCTCATAAAATCTTGAATCCAGATGCTTACTATACAGGTCAATTCAGTTGGGTGGACTACTACTATTCCTTCTGTTGGCATTGCCGCCGCTTATTTTGCTGGGAAGGGGACGCATAATTGCAGGTGGTTTGAATCCAGGAGGAGTGCGAGTAGGCAGGATAGGCCTGTGGATGTATGAATTATTAGTTTAACTCGAGTTACAAGCACGTTGAGTATATTCCCTATCTCACGAAACGTTAGCCGAAATTCTCAAATGTGTTTTCAATTCAACGAAATGATTAAAGTAAGTTGTAATATTGATTATTATGCGGCCTTATCCCAAGATATTTTAGTCACCTCAGGATACTGGCTTTTATTTCCCTCTAAACACCTGCAAAAAGCACACTATGAAAAGGGTTACTTAAGTAGCATGCATTTTTCTCATTGGTTTTTTCGCCGCACTTATATATTCAAATATATTTCATAGAAAACGTGCAAAATATATAATTTATTTGTACTCCTTTAGTGGCGTATTACGTCTCCTTCAAGTTTTTCGATTTTAGAAAGTTTCTCATTATGGAATCTTTTAAGGTCAGGAAACGTTTATTCATAGTTGATCCTATCGGTCAAGTTACTAATGTTGCTTTTAAAGTGTACAACGTTATCCGCAACTATTGTAAAATTTAGTGACAATTGTGTGGCATCTTCCGCATAGCGGAAAGAATTGTCATTTTTCTTAAGCAGAGTGTTTACCGTTTCGAAACCTCGGCTGCCGGCAGGTTTCAACATGATTCGACAGTTTAAAAAGTTTTTTTCAAGTTTCTTCAAGTATACAAATCGAAGGAGTAATTAGCTACCGAATGAGTACAACAAATATTCTTTTTGTGCATGTTTTGTATAAAGTATATTTGAATTTACAAGGGCATTGAAAATCAACGGGAGGACTACTTAAGTAGCCATTTTCTGCAGAGGGTCAGAAAGAAGCTATTTTAAAAGCTAGCGTCTCGACGTGACTGGAATATCTTGGGATTAGGCTGCACGATAATAAAAATTGCATCCTTGAGTAATTTGTTCGAAACTGCAACATTTAAACATATATATTTAATTGCTCATGACATTTAATGAGATAGGAAATCTACTGTACGTGGAACTGACAGGCGAGCGAAAAGCAGTCAGCCGCTGCGTCTGATGTCCCATTTCATCGACGTACCCCAATAGTTTTACTTCAGATGTCGTCCATCTACTGCGTTTCCTCAGTAAAATAAACCTGATGCTCCTCTGAATGCTGCAACGCCCCCAAATCCATTCCTTAGAAGGTCTCCAACTGGCAAAGTAACTTGGGACGAAGATCCTAGTTACAATGGTTCCTTTATGTGGTCCTACATCAGCTTTCACCTGTGCAAGACCCCAATGAATGGAGATCACTGTGTTGGGGCGGACACTTGCTTGGCACACGCAGGTTGGGGGCGAATGCTTGATTAGCCACTGTGTCTGCATTTGACTCCAGTCGTCTTGGTTCCTGGCCGTTAGAACACGATAAATAAGAGAAAAATGATACCGTCATTTTTAAAGCAAAGTTTCCCAGGTGCACATTTGCAGATGGCAAAAACAGCAGGATTTATTGGATCCACGAAATGACCTTTATGACCTTTTTGCATCAATTCAATTTTGTATTTTTCTCATTAGTTTCTCTTATAATGCACTGCAGTGGACGCAGCTGAAGAGCTCTCCCGAAATTTACTGGATCCAGTTAATCCTGCCGTTTTTGCCATCTACAAAGATACCGTCATTGACGGGCTTTGACAGTCGGCAGTTCATCTTCGGAGGTGCGAAAGTAGACGGTTTTCCTCATGGCTGGAGTGCGAGCTGTTGAAAAGACTTTTCATCAGCTTATCCCTCAATGAGTCTTGGGTGACAGAACCGTAGGTCGCCGGTCGATACAGGGCAAATAGCATTCATTATCCTATACTATGACAGCGTTTTGTGGAGTAGGGGGAGGTTGCGTGAGTTGTTGCTTTTGTGCTAAGAGCGTAATGTACGCAAAGGCACCTCATAGTCACCTCCCACGAAACCTCTTAGGATTCACACATATCGGAAACAAGCTCATAACTAATTATTATCAGTGTCTTGATAATTCCGACCAATCACCTGCCAAATGTAGCCATGTTATTTTTGATCGGTTGCCCAACCGTCCGTGCTTGAACCTAGATCAATCTGCCACAACCTTTACAGTCCTTAGCCCAGTCTCTTATTACTTCTTTGGTAATCCGTCACACGGTCGATTGGAAGTTGTCGACTGCGATTCTTTTGGAGTCGTGGCCAGTTGAGGCGACAAAAGAGCTATTTTTAGCATGCGAGAAATCATTTTGTTTCCCGAACTTCCGGTTTTAAAGTGTCTTTTTTTAAGAATTTGGACCCTTCTCTTCCCCTTTACGGAAAATATTAGCACGCTTTACGAACTGTAGGTTTTTTCCTCATGTGACCTTAAAATAAACTACCGCTACCCGAGTAACCAGATTAGGCTATCCTCGTTTGGCGTATATGAGGTGTTTGGTCAGCCCATACAATGAACTCTTTCACAGCCAAGTAAATTAATCGCTCAGAAAGCATAATTTCCGTTTCCCTTTGCTGACTAACAAAGTAAAAAATCAGATTGTTACTTATAGCCTTCATGAACATGAACAGCTAAAAAGTTTGACTTAAAGACATGCCTCTCGGATGTGGCTAAAAGCTGCTGTTTTTCTCACCGCTACTTTTATTGTTTTCCTTCCGGAGTTTGGCACCTTCGTGTATATTTGTGCATAATTATGTAAGAAGTAGGCCTTCGGGAACTTCCTATCATTATTATGAATTTTTTTTGGTAGAGGAGAGTAGTGACTATTGTTTAGGGACAAGGTAACCTCTCCAGGGTAGTAAATTATGCACATACCTTAAAATTCATATTGCGAATTGGTGATATTGCCTCAGACATGATCAGCTGTCGACCCCGATGCCTTCTTAAACGGACATTCACTGTCTCGAACATGATTTATTTAAGCTACTCAACGATTGCTCGGATTAGACCAATTAACGATGCATTGTCCTATAACGCGACGTCAATCACTGCGCCCAGTCTCATCAGTCAGTCAGTTGACA